GCCTGTGCTTTCGGAAGAGCCTGGAAGGCCGTGGAATTTCCTTGCTGCTCGGCCTGTGTTTCCTCAACCAACTGGTGTGACGAAACTGCCTGGACCCCAAATACGAATTTGACAGCTTAGGGCCTCTCGGGATTTGTTAGGCCCGCCTTCACTTAGGGCGGGCACATTTGCAGCAGGGACCCCCTTAGGCCTGCCGAGGACCCAGATCCTCGCAGTGCCATGTGGCGCATTTTAAAACTGGAGGACGGTGCTGGCCCTTCCTGAAATGAAAAATGGGGAGGGCCTCCCAGTCCTCCATCCAATATTTGAGAAGAGAGATCCCATGTTGCACCTGCTGGCTCTTCCTTTTGGAGGAGGACGACAAGGGAGATGAAGAAGGCGGATCGAGGGGTATTTCAAACACGCTTTGTGGCCATGCATTTGACAACTCTATAAGGACAGAAAAAAGAGTCCGAGGGGCTAATCTTAAGCGTGCCAAATGGCAGGGAGTCGAGAACCCATTGAGAAAACAACGGCAATGAAGAAGAAGAAGAAGAAGAAGAAGAAGAATGAGAAGAAGAAGAAGAGGAGGTACATGGTTGCCCTCCCTGCGTCCATATCTCATTCTCGACCTCTGCTTTCAAAACACTGCGATTTTCACTCATGCTAGCTTTTTGGCAATCCAAGGTGCAAAAGGTCCGCTTGTAGTCAGATGCTGCATGTAGATATCTCAAGTTGTTTGCTGATGGTTCACCTATTTCGTTTTTGTCCACTCGGTTAAGTGAGTACTCCTTGGGGTACCAACACCTCTCCGTTATCAGTTTTACGTCCTTCGTCATCTTTTTGTTTCCCTCTTCAGCTTCTTTTAGATCCCTCTCCATCCTTCCCCTTTGGAAAAAAGCAATGGACATGCAGCAGCGCTGTGGTTGCATGCCTCGCAAATGGTTCAGCTTACAGCCTTTTCAATTCTAGGTTTGGCTTCCGTACAGTTAACTTTTTGGAGAGAGTCAGTCATATGCATATCCATATCCTCCCACTCCGTCTTTTGTGTATTATTTTGAAATCACTTTTAATGAATTCCAGCATGTGTTTCGTCTGTACCCACTGCAACAACAGTTGCACCACTGTAATCCGGCTCTTATACTTCGTGCAGCATTTGTATTTGGCAATGTCACAATGGCCTCTCAAGTGACAAGGACGATCATGGGCGATGTTCCTAAGGCGATTCCTACTCTCACAAAAATTCTCTCATTCTATTTCCATGCTATGGGGAAAGGAAGGGGATCTCCAAAATCCATGGTGATAACGAAGAATGTAAAACAAATGGATGGTAACACAGAAGAACAGGTGATGGAAGAGGAGAGTGGAATCGGGATTAGTAGTGAGAGTGCTGGGGAGAGCAGCAAGAGTAACAAACTGATACAGGGCAGTAATCAATCACGAGGACACCTGTGCCGAAGTGTGAAAGATGGCTCAACTGGCTCCAAAGTAGTCCACTCTCGTGTTCAAGATAACGGGACGATTGCAGATGACCACCACTGCTACATTCCGCTGAATAATCATTCACGTCTACGGGCAGGACCTGAGGGCCATGGAGAAGAGTTTCAAGCTACCCAGTCTGAGTGCGTTGAGGTTCTCGTCAAGATCATCCGAGCAGTGGCAAATCTGGCCATTGATCCTCGTCTTGGAGTACTTATTGGAAGAGACGAGCAAGTTGCAGATGTTCTGGCCGGGGTGCTGGAGCTCTTCGAGTTTGAGGAAGAAGAGGTGAGACAGGGCCTTCCATCATATGATTCTAGTATTATTCTACCCATTGACTCCATTTCTTCCACTCAATTGTCATGCCCATTGTCCTCTTCTTCATTGCTTGGCAACTTTTCTTCCTTCCGGTGTCCACAGGACGGGTTACCCACGGACTCTGTCAACGCCCTCTTGTCCTTTACTAATTTTTCTCTACCTCTGGGGTGGTACCTGTTCTTCTCCCTCTATTTTACCCACCGCCACTGAGGAAGCAACACTTAGTATCCCCTGAAAGCTGTTAGATATACATAATACAATGAGGGCGTTGAGGGGTGAGAACCCAACTACTTTCTGTGCTTGCAGATCACTAGCAGTGCTGAGAAGAAACGATGATTTCATTCGGGACTTTTGCTCTGTGCCACAAAAATCTATGCACATATAACTGCAGTCAAAGAAGACCCTGTAGTGAGCTGTGGAGAACAAAGCCCACCTGACCACCTGCCAGGTAGAAAAGCAAGGGAGATTTTGAGAAATTATAACAAGGGAGCTCCTCGGCGGGGAGGGGAGGGCGGGGGGGGGGGGGGGGGGGGGGGGGGGGGGGGGGGGGGGNGAGAGAGAGAGAGAGAGAGAGAGAGAGAGAGAGAGAGAGAGAGAGAGAGAGAGAGAGAGAGAGAGAGAGAGAGAATCTTCTCTGTTCTGCGACTTTTTCGACCGAGCTCTCGATGTGGTTTTGGTCAGATGCATCCAAATCAGCCCGTCATTCAGGGCAGACACATTTAGAAAAAGCGCGGTGGTGATTCGTCCTTTTTCTTTGCCTTTTTTTTTGCACAGCCATGCTCGGGCCCCTCTGGGTTCTCCTCTGTCTGTCGTTTTCGCCTGATGTTGGAATACAAGCACATAGGCAGTAGAGTTGGATGGATAGAAGACATGTGAACGTAAGGAGGTCCTGAGCTCGAATCTGTGTCGACTTCGCCTCATGTTTGTATACAAATACATAGCAACTTAGCAAGTAGATTTGGATGGATAGAAGACACATGAATGTGAGCAACCCGGTACTGAGTTCGAGTCTGGGTCGACCTCAGCCCAAAAAGAGAAAGATCTCAGAGCATACTCAGACTAGGACTCTTTCAAGTAGCAACTGAGCTCTGGGTTGCGGTCAGATGCATCCAAGTCGGGTCGTCATTGCAGACAGATACATATAGAAAAGTGCTAATGTTTATGTCCTCAGAGTTTTTCCAGCTAGGGTTTGGCCTCAGGTCTGTATATGAACAGTTGATGGCTGTATGGTTTAACAACTTTAACTTCAGCCGGATGGGCTTTGCATTTTTCGGGTTTTTTTTTTTTTTTTTTTGTGGAGGGGGGCGGATCGTTTGTACCACCCAGCTTATGTGTCATGCCACACCTGCCCCGCACTGCAGTGGCGGGCCCACCTAGTGCCATTGAGTCTAGATACTATGACCCACCCCATGCAGTACCCCCCAACACACATAGTTTCACCGAGTCCAGACAATACTACCCTGACCACATGATGCCACCCAGTCCGCATAGCATGGCCCGCCCCGCATAGTGCCTCCCAGCCCGAGGCCCGCATAGTACGCCCGTTCCACATGGTGAAACCCGCCCCACGTGGTACTCCCCGGTCTGCATAGTATTGTGCAGCCCACATAGTATCACTGTATCACCCCCTCTGCGGGATACCACCCGGCCCACGTAGGACCACCTTGCAGTGCCCTGGTTCACGCAGTCCACATCATATCATGCAGCCCACATTCCATCACCCATGCCACATGTACTCCCTGGACCACATAGTACTGCCTGGCAGTGCCAAGGGACGAGTAGTGCCTAACTATGGCCATGTGTTTTGGTTTTGTTTCTTTTGCGGGAAAGCTTGGCCACAAGTCCGTCCATGTACGTGTCGAAAGGTGACTACTGACAGACCCGTGGTTGGATATCGAGAGGTGGACTTTGTTTTTTTTTTGTGTGAGGCCTCTTTTCTTTTTTGTCGCTTGGCCCCATAGATGGCAGAGGAGGAAGCGGGGTAGGAGGAGGACACAGTGTGAGCGAGAGGCCAAGAAGTGCATGGCGGAGGAGGAGGGACAGGAGGACAATGGGGTAGCGGGACGGAGAGGAGGTGGCACAGAACAGGGAGGAGGCGGGGGAGGAGGTGGAAGGGGAACAGGGGGACAAGGAGGAGGAGTAGGTGCGCAGACATCCACTTTTTTTAATATGAATAATGTGAATATTGTACTACATCTATGAAATATTTTTTTTTGCAATTCTAATTAGTCAAATGGTATTATACTATTGCATAATTATTAATTTTCAATAGATTTTGCGGGTATGGTTCAGTGGCAGAATGTTTCCTTGCCAAGGAAGATGCGAGTTTGATTCTGGTTACCGGCCTTCAACATTTTCTCACAAAGTATAAAACGAAATAGATAAAGCATAGAAATCTCATATTTATTTATATGGATTACTATACTGTGCGTGATGTATCAAAGCCATTGTTTTATCATAGAGGCGACTTCGAGCAAAAGAAAGTCCTCTGGTATGACAGGCGGTGTGTACACGACCTGCGCACAAAGGAATCTAAGACACAGTCGACCTCCTGTATAAGTATGGATGTTCATAACACCACCAATGGTACTTGCGAAAGCTCCCAGCAAACCAAAAACGTACCTGACATATTCTCCCCTCTTGGGAGCAGGTGGCAGATGAAGGGAGGGAAACGTAGCGACAAGACAACGAACAGATAGGAAAAGCAAATTCTGAGAAACTTCAACGAGGTGGAAGAAAGACTGCAAAGACAGGTCCTTCGGGACATCTGCTAAAACTGGAACGATACAGAGAAGATTGGCATGGCCCCTGCACAAGGGTGACACACATTAATCGAGAAATGGTCGAAATTGCAAAAGAAAAAAGAAGAAGAAGAAGAAGAAGAAGAAGAAGATTGCAGGCCTAAGCTCAGTTGGTACACCCATCAGCTGTTGAAATACAGACCTAAGTTCGAATCAAGATGGACCAAGATGAATGCAATGAAATAATTCTGAATTACCTGTGGCTGGTCACTTCTTTAATGATGATATCTAAAGGTCCTTGCCCATTTGTTTATTTTTTTTTTAAAGAACGATTGCAAAGACAGCAGATTATCAGAGTAGCACATGGCGTTGGACAGGATGCAGAAAGGGCGTACCTTGAAAACCTGCAGATGAGGAATGATCTGAATCTGAAAATCGCCAAATGACGAAATCAAGGAAAAAAGGGAACAATGAAAAAGAAAGCCGAGAGATGCAAAGGGCAAAGAGACAGTTACGTCCGAAAGATCTGATGCAAAGAAATGCAAAGAAATCGCAAATGGAAGGTAGGAAGACTCAGAAATGCACGTGGATTAAACAGCAGCCCCTAGTGAGAGACACAACCCAAATGGACGAGGATGCCAGCTAGAAAGGTAAAATGGCTGGAAGACTCAGGAAGAGTACATAGAGTCCCTACAAGCAAGCAAAAAAAAGAAAAGAAAAAGGAGTCCCTACAAGCACGTAAGGAACTGAGCTTTGAGATTTGCCTAGTTCACACCAAACACATCAGCAACCTCAAAAAATCATCAACTGCATACAGCAGCTCAAACAGCTTCCTCATCTCACCTTAACCCTTACAAGCACTGCAGACTGAAATGGAGTTTTTGGAATGCCTGGCCCAACAGTATGTGGAGGAGCAGAAGGATGTAATGGACTCAAAGCTGCAAGATGCAGCCACACACACAGCGACCTGGCCAAGCTCCTATTTGAGGGAAAACATAGTTAGGAATCTCATGCCATTTATAAGAAAAGTTAGAAAATCCGAAGGCCTTTTTAATGAAACTTGTCACCCAGACATAGAGTGCACACCATACTAACTAATAGCAAAAAAAGAAAAAAAGGAGGAAAAAAAAAAACAGCATAAAATGTCAAGGCAAAGGTGCGCATTCATGCAAAATCTGTCGAAATTTGCCCAACCCAAATTTCAGAAAGTGTCAGGAATTTCAGAGATGTCAACAGAGGAATTTTGAACAGTCCAACAGACACCAGATTTGCCACGTATAAACCTTGACCTAACACAGGAACAGGCAAACAAAAAAATAATGAAAAACACAAAAGAATTGACCCCCAATTTCCCCAAATGAAACGGTTTTCACCCTTTAGCAGTAGCAGGTGCAGTACCCAGGGTTCGATCCCTAGACCTCACCCTACCCATGTACAGTATCTGTGTAGACCCTGAGAGTTGAACCTGTGACCTGTGTATTCGTAGACACTTGGTAGGTCTGTCGTAGGTCCATAGGCAGCAGAGGTTCGATCTGTAGGTCTATAGCATAGAAGTCTTAGCAAGTTCTAGAAGTCTAGCTGTAGTCCTTCTAGAAGATCGGCAAGTGGGCAAGTGGTCAAGTGGCGAGGCAAGTGGTGGACTAAACTGCAGTGCAAACGCAGTACGACGACGGTAGGATGGCAGTGAGTCCACAGTCAGTCAGCGGTAAGGTCCAGTCAGTCCCAGTCCGGTCCAGCAAGTACCACGGGGGACTGTGAACACCATGGGCCGATGGCAAAGGGCAGACCAACGAGTTTCTGAAGTATAAATCAAGAGGCAGCACCCAGCCATTCATTCATTCCTGCGTGAGCCATGCGGAAGCGCTGCCACAGCGACTTGTGCAAGGAGGTCTGCAGATGAGCCCGGAGGACGCAGTGGGGGAGAGAGGAGTTAGTATAGCGATAGGTTAGAGGCAGCCCGGAGGACGCAGTGGGCGAGAGAGGAGTTAGTATAGCGATAGGTTAGAGGCAGCCATAACTGCCATAGCCGTAGTTAGTAGGAAGTGCGTGTGTGTGTTCGAGTGTTCAGAGTGACGTGTGTGGGATATCCAGGGTGATCCAGTGTGTGCGAACAGTGAGTTGTTTGGGCGCCGAGACGCCATAGCCAACTGAGAGTGAACTCGTATCTGGAAGCCATATCTCTGAGTTTTGATTGGGCGCATGTCGCCAGTTTGCTGTGTTGCTGTTTAC